TGAACTTGTTTAATGGCTTGGGTGGCGGGTTCTGATCTGAACTTGTTTAATGGCTTGGGTGGCGGGTTCTGATCCGAACTTGTCGAATGGCTTGGGTAGCGGGTTCTGATCTGAACTTGTTTAATGGCTTGGGGGGCGGGTTCTGATCCGAACTTGTCGAATGTCTTGGGTGGTGGGTTCTAATCCGAACTTGTCGAATGGCTTGGGTGGCGGGTTCTGATATGAACTTGTCGAATGGCTTTGGTGACGGGTTCTGATATTTAATATGCCATCTAGATTATGTTCAGTATTCACATATAATCGTTACAAACTAATATTCATCGACCTACAGCGTGATAGTATAACACTAGGCAGATTTTTTTCAAAATTTACTAGACTTGGTCATTTAATTTAATATATAATGATCCCTAGAATAAATTCACACAGGCAACTACTCTGAAAATCTTAATGAGAGTCTATGATCGTTCACGGTAATTGTTCGATAGGAGAAGGGTCCTTGAGGAGGCGAAATTTTATAATAATATTGCAGAGCTTTAATAACTCGTCATCGTGGCGCCAAAGACTGGCGCAAGATTGTTGCGTTCAGCTTCTGTGAACGTTAGAGGGTTCGATACTTATTGATAATCGATGGGGAGACGCGAACCAAACAATAGACGTTTTGAATGGGATGGAGACCATTGTATGGAGGGTCTCGAACTGCAGCGCGAGCTCAAACTACTGCCGCTAATTTAGTAGAGAAATAAGATTTGTTCACGTCAAGTTAATTTCAAGTATACATTGTGGAGAAATATCGGACAAGAAGCCAGTTCGTTATAGTACCAATCAAGAATGTTTGATAATTGTAACGTGTCCGTATTATTGGTTTGCATTTTCCCTGGAAAAATCGACAAGCAAGTCAAGTCAATCAAGACACAGTCAATTACACAATGCACAGAACAGATCAACTACATTCATAACATAAGAGTACTAGTAGAATATTCGATCGACTCTGAGCACTATCACTACACATTACAAAGTAGCACCTGATATTTCAACTTTGAAGAGCATATACAATTGACTGCAGAGGAGATATTCGTTCCACAGCGGAAAAAATCAGTATTGTTAGACAAAAAAACGCAACATTTCTAAGTACACAAGCCTTGCAATAAATAATGTACATTATTGAACGTTGAATAAATAGAAACACTGATGAAATACCAGAAAATACATTAATACAATAAATATGGTATTGTTATAGTTCCGGTCTCGGCGCAATAATGATGGCAACGCATTTTAGAAGTGGGGAAAAAATCCGCGGATTTAGCAACCAGGATTTAAGTATCTCGCAACTCACTCCAGGTACACATTTGCACGAAATATTCAAGAACATTAATGAAGAAAGCGATTTATCACGCACAACGGACTCTGAAATTACCACAAAGATAAATCATAGACCTCAGAGAAAAATGGTGCCTTCATTGCGCCAGTCACAGAGAAGAACGTTCACACTATGTTTTGTGTGAGCGTGCGAAAATTACAGAAGCTATTTCGAGGCGCGCTCACTTCTGACACTTCATGCAGAGTTTATAAAAATTATACAGATACAATTGAGTTTGTTTACGCTTTCAAAGAGTTTTGTTAGGTGAAGTGTGCTTAAGTATATGGTAGAAAACTAGACTTGTTTTTTGCAAGTCTACAAAATGTAGACTTGCATGTATTATACATATAATAGAGATAAAACAGCGAGTATCGCTAATGAACGAGCTGGAGAAAACTCCGAGAAATGTATTTTTTGCAAGTCTAGTACAAAAAACAACTAGACTTGTTTTTTGTTTTGACTGCATTGAGCAAGATTTCAGGAACATAATTAATTTTATGTCAAAGATTATGCACAATCGTGAAAAAGCTAAACGGACAGCAGAAAATACTCCATGCATTATGTCGGAACTTTTTTGTCCCAACAATTCAGAGGGTAATTTTTGAATCCGCAATAAATTTTCGCTAACGATTCAATGGCAATCATTTTTTAGTTCAGAAATTATGAACACATCGTAATATTTGATCAAATATAAAATTTTAGACGCCAGCAACCATTCAACGCATTTGAAAAACTCTGCTACAAACAGTTATAAATAATAGCTTTATCGCTAGCGATGGTCAAATGCTTTAGTCGTAAGCAGTCAAACAAATGACCTTGCACTTGAAATGACGAATGAAAAGGAATTGTTTTTGTGTGAGAATTTTACGCTCAAAAATTCAGCCTAATGATAAAATTCTCTAGAAAACCGGCATAAAATTACGCAGTATGAAATTAATTCAACCTTTTAATGCCCCAGCGGATGCGGCCGGCATTTTTTCACCAAAAAAGTGTTACAGCTAGAATTTAAGTAAGTTAAGCGTCACATTTAAATAATCACAGCCACAATTTGGAAGAATAAGTTGGTTAAAATATTCGAGATATTTCATAAATAGTACAAATAAACCACAAAATATATATATATAATTCTGTATAAATAACCTTATTAAGGGTATCAAGAGACTCCAGACTTATGCATGATGAGAAAGCGACCGCGTCTCAGGAAAGCTTCAGTATTGACCCGTGAAAATATGGGGCCGATATTGGCATGGGGATAATAGAGTGGCTTTAGCGGGAGTTACTGGGCAACTGAGGCACATAATAACTTGTCGCGTGTCTCCGTAATGTCTCAGTTATAGACTTAAATTCTATTCATTTGGTCTCTGTCGAAGGTTTCTAGTTTTGGTAAGGTTTCGGTAACCGTTGTTAGAAGAATTACTACTGGGCAACAGAGGTATATAATGATGTGCCTCATGCAGTTTCCCAAATGTGTGTCTCCTCGAATATTCATTATGGTTAGTTATAGTCTGTGATTTCAACGAGTTTGGCGACTGACGATAATTCTTTAATATACATGAAAATGGTATATTGAATTAGGTTCTTGTTACTACAGTTAGTTAAGAAAAGTTCATGGGCGACCGACTCTCATAATCTTGTGTCGTGTCTCGGTAATGTCTCAGTTATAAACTGCAAATGTAATGAATTTGACATCCAACAAACTTGACTCAAAATATAGAAATAAAAAGAATAAGAAAGGAAGAATTATCATGATATTGATAGTTCCATAAAAACTTATCTGGCGCTGGTTATCTTACAACAATGGTTGAGCGAGCCATGAGCATTACTTATTTACGAGGCTCAATGATTTACTATACGTAAAAAAAAGTGAATAAAAGCAGTAGTAATACCGATGCGTACACGATGTCCTGCCGAAATAAGGACTAATGTGAGTGACTAGTTTCAATGTAAACAAAGGAAATACCTACGCAAAACTCCTGCTATAAATTTTAATGAAATTTTCTATTTTATAAAATTACATTGGTCTTCCCAAATAACTATTCAAATTGGACAAATATCATTCAGACCGAAATAAAAATAATTCAAATATTACGCCAGTATAGATGTGAGATCTTGGCAGGATGACAAGAGCGATGCAAGATTACCGACGAGAAAATCAATGATTAACAACGTTGGTGTGTACAAATCGCGTATTGATTAACTCTTGATCCACACTCCACAGACACGATAATCGCTGTCGATGCTGCTCCGACCTAAAGGCCTGGTAACGAGTGTTATACCATTAGACCAATTGGTAAATTGGTATCGTAGTATTGAACAAGCGCGCGTTCTTATTGATTAACGTACATCGTTAACGACGTAACTAACTACATGCTGCAGTCAAAACAGTTCAGCATAATGTACGACAGCATTACAGCATATCGATGGTGGAATAAATAACTGTATGCTGATGTTACAGCAGTTCAGCATAACGCATGGAAGCTCCAGCACGCAATGCACGTAATCACTTGCTAGGCGGATAATCAATTGCCAGGCGGATAATTAATTGCCAGGCGGATAATCAATTGCCAGGCGGATAATTAATTGCCAGGCGGATAATCAATTGCCAATAGACACAAATTGCAACCGATAACACTGCTTCAGTTCAGTTTAAATGCCAAAATTGCTAATAATTTAACAAAATATAACTCAGTACTCACTACAGTGAGTGACAGAGAGCGCATTTTCTTGTCGACGAAAACGTGAAGTCACGGACGGACAGACAGGCGGACAGACAGACGGACAAACGGACGGACATGGCGAGCACAATAGCGTATTTTTTTCCATACATGAGAAAATGCGCTAAATAGTTAAAATAATTTGGGTGTATATGAAATAATTCAGTTAAGGTCTAGTAATTTAGGTCGAGTCGAAATAATTTGAAATGATCTCAAATAATTTAGTCAGAATGCAGATAACTTAGGCTGACTTCAAATAATTAAAGCTGATTTGAAATAATGTAGGCTGATTGAAATTAGGTTAGTCTAAGATCAAATAATTTAGGAAGAATCGCTCATCTCCTTTCATAAGCCAGTAAATTTGTAGCAAAATTAAGTAATAAATTGCAATGCGGACATCTGAACATTTCGGGAAATCGGCGCTATTTTAACGGCAAATGTCATCTGAAGTTGATCAAGATTTCATCTGAAGTTTACTTAAAATTTATCGCAAGTTCAATCCAAATTTGTATATAGTTCAGTCAAAATTTATCTAAAGTTCAGTCACATGAAGTTCTGTCATATTTCAGTCATTTTCAGTCTAAAGTTCAGTAACAAAATTCCTCTAAAGTCACATTGAATGTGAAGTTTAATCAAATTACACCTAAAATTCAGTCAGATTTCACCAGGTATTCATGAAAAAAGGCCGGGCCCAGGCCACGTCAATAACTATTGCAAAAATAGAACCGACCGCCGCTTCTGCTAATTTAGCGTTATTTATCTGGCAATTAATAAGGCATATATTAAATTAAAGTACGATTTGAGATGCCCAAAACTATGTATTATGAAAAGTAACATACGAATCATTTAAATTCATTCTGTCACACTTGAACTTTCTAATTTGTCATTTAAAAAGATGGCTACGGTTTTATTAACTAATTATTACTCACTTGACTAGCTGTCATTTCAGGACGCTTGGCGACGCCATCCGCTTCTCTGTAGGTGACATCCTTGATCTTTCCAGCGAACCTTGGCTGCAGGGCAACCACGGAACCGGAAAGACGAGTCACGTCCGGTGGAATGCCCCCGAAAAACACGGATCCAGAAGAGTCGTTGCTCCCGAAGGTGTGATCATGAGTGCCTTGGTGCGTTTCCACGGAGTCATCAACCCTGAGCTCGATAATTTCGCCAGATTTTTGCACTCTTACGTGATGCCAAAATCCATCGTTGAGGCTGCGACCAGCGCTCACTAGACGATTGCCTAACCCCAAGTTGTACCTGAGTCTAGCTGTGCCCTCAACTAAAGTCAGTTGGAAGAACTGAGTAGAACTTTCATTGTCCGTGTAGAAGAGCAGGCCATCAGGTTCTGAAGTGCTGAATAAGAAGTCCAATGAGCCATCTCCAGCCGGAGTCCAGCGAGGGTACTGAGCGTACGAGCTAACCGAGCCTTCCAAAATAAAGGCCGAGATAATAACTGATGAGTCTAGTAAAGATAGAAATGCGATCAAGAGTTGCATCGTGATGCTCACTGGTAACTTAGGAACACGATATGCTTTTGCGTCTCTAGCCATGGTAATGATGAGTAATTTCGATGAATGGAGGAAGCCTACAGTCCCTGCAATCCGCCACTGACAACGTCTTATTCTAAGTGGAGCCACGATAACTGCATTTCCTTCAAGGCATTGGAAACAATACTAAATTTACTTTGTTCCATCATAAATCTGAACACATCAACATAACTTTCAGTTATTAAATTGCTTCACTCACTTTCCCCGTGTTCAGAAAACCTCTAGGTTCACGAATCGATTGGTTGATAGTAGTAGAGCAAGTAAGACATACGAGCACTACACCTCCTACCGGCACGACGGTTAATCGAATACTGATGACATTCGAGACTGCCAGCACACGCGCAGTCGCTCTTCCCGCCTGCGTCCATGTAGGCGCAATATTCCCTCTGAAACGCGGTCATCAACCGAATAGGCTGTCAGCTCTTGAGTTCGCACTCTTTTATATTTCTATACATCGTATTTTGTAGAATTAGAACTTCTACTCCAAATGAAACTCTAGTATTTCAAGCATTCATTGTAGTAAATCTTTATAGTAAATGTCTGAGTTATATCCGGACAAGGTCAGTAGAGCCGTCTGAGGCTTATTAATCTAGCAGCCACTCATTGTTCACGTCCAAGCTGGCGTGAGCTAGGAACAACCTAACATGGATGCCATCCGTCCTTCCTCTTGCTTATGGACGCGGCAAATTCCAGTAGCTGCCTGGATTTCAGGTGGTCTTGAAAGGAACAAATCAGAGCCGAGTTCCGTATGAATTATGAACGTGACTGTACTTGAATACAGAATTATATTAGCTGGCGGATGGAGATATTAAAGTCTAGGTATCTCAGTATTAATGCAATTAAAATTCTATTCAGATGTGCGAGGTGTCGCCAGTTTTGAGTCACTCAAGACGTGATTCTCATTGAATGTTTTCACAGTGATTAGTAACACCTAGATTCCTTGCCTAGATTCCATGAGTCCGAGTCACAGTATGTGAACTACTTCAAAGTGGTTAACTTTTTCGATGTCGATCAACCATCATATTATATCTTCAGACAGTCGGGGAACAGCTAACCGAAAAGTTAGCTTCGATAACCGTTAATCCGCTAACTGAAAAGTTAGCTTTTATAACGCTAAACACATAAATCGCCAAAAATTTAGCTGAATTTACCGCTAACCGCTAACTTTTACTATATCAATGTAGCTTTGGCTTAATTTTTTGAAGGCTCTGAAACTCTGAAAAAAAAAACAGAACTACAGAGCTGAACTTTTAACAAGTCGCAGCATTGACAAGGAGCTTTCCAAAAAGATGTACAATGCCAAGATCAGATGATGATCAAGATGTACATAAATAATTAAATGAACAAGTTAAATTAAGCAGTAGTTGACATTCAACATACAGATTATTAAACGAATAAAAAATTGTAAGAAATAAAAACACACAAATTACACACTGCTTTTACTCTGGATTGCCCTTCATCTCCTCGAGGTGATGATTTTTGCCCTTGATGAACATCAGCCTCTCAATGCTGTATCAACCAATGTACTGATACTACAATATGTAGTATCAGTACATATGTTGACGTAGACAGTCATCAGTGGGGCACACTGCTAATGATACTCAGCATTTAATATTAACACCTGAATTTTAAAAGCGAAGAAAACACCACAAAAATTTAGCATATCTCTTTTGAAAACGTTTCGGAGACCAGCTCCATCGTCAGTTCGATAAATCTAGAACACAGATAAATGCAGAAAATTAGTTTGGAGTTAATAAAAAAAACACAAACAGAAGTTAAAAACCTAAATTTAAAAATTTTTGTGGTGTTTTCTTCGCTTTTAAATTTCTAGTGAATCTGCGATTAAAGCAATCTAGTGACTTTTTTAACACCTGAATTTTCTATCAGAAGAGATTTTTAAACATTTTTATCAGACTGCCGAACTCAATTTAGCGAAAGCTAATTGGTCTGCTAATGGTTTTCAAATTTAGCTGAAAAGCTAATCCGATAAGGAAAAGTTAGCTTCGCAAATTAGCGATTAGCGGATTAGCGAAAGTGTGCCCACCACTGTCTTCAGATTCCGTTTGCTTCGCACAAGTCTTCTGATTTTCGTTTATTATTACAAGACGCACGAACCTCATTTAGTTATATTAATGACGTTCAAAACGCGCAATAAGTGTAATAAAATTCCTGAAACCTTTTTTCTCAGACATAACAAACATACTGAAACTTTTTAACCCATAGCAAAACACTTGGCCTACGAGTATGAGTGTCATGGCGTAGACATAAACGTTCTAAGAAATGACCAGACTTATCGTTTAACCATACCTAAACAATGCTCATGAAAGTAGACCTCGATTAAAGTTTAAAAAATTCAACTTCGTGCGCGTCTAGACCGACTTAATATGAGGATACTCTGAATGCAAAATCTTCGTTCAATTCAAAACTATGGAGGCCGCGACACTTAAGTAGTTTATTTGGCATGCATAGCACTTGAAAATTCCTCTTATATGCTTCAATAAAAACCTGATTAAACCTTTATCAGTCCTGCAAAGAAAACCTATCAATATTGTGGGTAATACCTCAGGTCATTAAAAAGGAAACCTAAAACCTGCTCATATAAACTTTTGGTGGCACATAGCAGCAAAAAATATAACTCAGTACTCACTGCAGTGAGTGACAGAGAGCGCATTTTCTCGTCGACGAAAACATGAAGTCACGGACGGACAGACAGACGGGCAGACGGACGGACAGACGGACATGGCGAGCACAATAGTGCATTTTTCCATAAATGAGAAAATGCGCTAAAAAGTGCCGTAAACCTCTTGATGTCGGACTCTAACTTCGTTCACCTGGCTGCCGGTTGGTTTATAGCCGTCCGGTTCCGCGTTGGTATAGCTGACTCACTCGGATACCGATCCGGAATTAATTTGCGCAGGCTAATTGGCTCGTACACGAATTCACGGAGCTGGAGATTGAAGGGATTTGTTTCGGTTATAACTGCGGCTGATTCAATCTGCTTTTGCGGTTTTGGCTTTACTGAGGAACACGCGGTGATTGCACATTCAAACGATTTTAATTTACTTAATCGCAACTATGTTGAAGTGAAGCAAACCGAGAATACTTTCGCATATTAAATTATTATAATTTCAGGAGCCGTGCAATAAAAAATAGTTAAGAGTTCGTAACTCCGTTTACTAGCCACTGACGGCTTTTCAAGTTAAACTCTCGAATCTGAGACGTTAAATTGGCCGTTAATTACGCGTATATACCATTAGGCGAGATTCTTTGATAGTATTATGTCAGGGTTAAACTAAAACAAACCCCATCGAATAGAAATTAAATAATTTACTCAGCGTTGAGATAACATGATCTTACTTTCTGTTATAGAATAGCAAACGAGTAGTAAATGTTTATAGCTCTCGTCGTTTGCAATGCATTCGAAGTTTGCATACATGTTTGTGTCGTCTGAAGCGCTGATGCAACTGATAATGAGGTAACCCTTCCGGACGTGAGGCGAGTGGTGAAGAACCAAGTCCTCAGAAGTGAACAAAAGAAGAAGATAATGAGGTTATATTGTGCACGAGACTCCCAGGCCTATACATGCAGACAGTGTAAAATTATGCTGAGCGCACGCAATGCAACGGTCAGTGCCAATTCCGCTATAATAATGAGTATATTTCAGTAGCTTATGCAACTGCACCGCCAATTCGTGTGTCGGTTGCTAGGGACGCACTCCAACAAAAAAGAAAAACAAAGCCATCTTCGTCCCTGCATTATTCAGCCAAGTGATCATATAGGTCCATCCATTAGCCACAGTGAGAACAAGTTTTCTTAATAATCTTTATTGCCAAGCATGAACATAAGAACTAATGACTTAAACTGTTGCTGAGATGGTTACTTGAATCAAGACTATTACTGAGACTCCTGAAATAAATAAACAAACAAGAATAAATATCTAGCAAAGAATCGACATGGACAAAAATATTGATCATAATGAGAAGCACGAAATTTAAGCATTAAAATTGACACAAATTGCACGCATGACAAACGATAGTAATCCTAGCATCCACAGTTTTCGCTGTTCCTATTTACACCAGACGTACCTTACACATCGACGGCAACCACACGACTAAACTAGGTTCCGCTATTCGGATAAGGTCACGTCAAACTCTCTCTAAAACAAAATGAAAAATATATATCCTATCCAATCCCTTACACGGTTAGCAGAGATTTAGTGTTTAAAAAAATTACAGTTGATTACTGCGAAAAAAAAAAAAAACAAATTCTGACCAGTATTACGGTCATTTTATTTAGGGAAAATGAAATGATGAACCAGGCAAGAGACATGACAGCCAATCCTCATTTGCAGCAATTTGGTATGATTTTTCTATAACACTAAACAGTTGCAGTATAATAAGGAACAATATATACATTTTATAATGTTCTTCTAAACAAAGTATTGCATCCAGAATGTTTTTATTCGACCGCTATCGCGGACTTTCTTGAAAAACAATTCAAGTTCACCACATGATCCCAACGATTCTTGAACATTTCAAAGACGATTTAAAATGCACATTGCCCACTGTAATTTTATGCAAACTTTTTTTTTCTCTCTGCCTTTACTGCAATGGACTAGGGGAACGCTAGTGTATGGAACTCACATTTTCTGAGCTTTGCGGGGACTTAGCCGGGACTTTTTTGGTCGGGACTGAGCGGCTCTTGAGATGCGTTGCAGGCGATGAAGTGCCGACGTTACGTAGTCGGTGTCACGCATCTCTATTGATTAGACACGCCACGACCTGCACCACGTTTGTTGGTGCTGTGTTACTAATACAGTTACTGTGATCCGTAGGCTTTTGATGCAAATCACATTTGTTGCATATCACATTTATGTTCATGTACTCGTGATTTATTTTGATGCATAGGCCTTTGTTGCACATCACATTAATGATGTACTCATGATTTCTTCTGATGCATAGGCCTTTAATTGTTGCATTTCAAATTTACGATGTACTCATGATTTCTTCTAAGCATAGGCCTTTTTTGCACATCACATTTATGATATAAGTACTTATATTATTAGTTTGCTTATATCGCAAGTTCACAAGGAATTTGAAAGCAAAGAAAACGCCAAGAAAATTCACCATATCGATATTGAAAACGTTTCGGAGTCCAGCTCCATCATCAGTTCGACTAAACTAAAAATGAATAAAATCACTTTAAAAGTCAAAATTCGAAGACAGACATAAAACCTAAACAAGACCTAACATTATATCGAATCATATAATCTGGAAATAGTAAATCGCTAGGATTTTATATTCTTGTCGTACCCCTAAGACCAAGTTGTTATAATCTAGTCCTATTTATTTCG